AAAAAACCACCCTCCCCCCCCCCCCCCCCGCATCGGCAATCCACGAAGCGTCTCGCCCATCAAAGAAGAAACCGCCCTTGACCATTATCTATACATCCCTGACACGGTCCGCCCGGGAGCAAGAAAATATCAGATTTTGATATAGGGTGTCAAAATAAACTCAGCAAAGATTATCTATCCTACGCTTATGCTAAGTTACCTAAGTCATTCAGTCATTCAGTCATTCAGAACCAAGGTCCTGAGTTTTCTTTCCACCCCGAGACGGTTCAATTTTCTAGTCAGCGATTTGATGTTAGTGGGGCCGACCCGCACTGCCCTGATGCTCCCAGATGGCACAGACTGCCAGACTGACGCCCCCACGCTTATTGCTTTCGTTTAGGATACAGCACCGAGCGAGCCTGGAGTCAAGCATTGATGCAATAAATATTACTTGTCGCCAGCAGCGCAAGCTTCAACGTCATGGGCCTTCCTGTCGATCCTATGTCCATTTCTTCTGGAAACTCTGCTCTGCGAGGATGCTTTGATTGGTCGTGTTCCTCTTAAGCTTCGTCGCGAGGCTAATCTTGACCACACCAGGACAGCAGGCAGTCTCGAAGAACCACTGTGATGTACATGAATAGGTGGTTTTAACAACGGAGCATCAGTCCACGGATCAGCAAATGCCGTGATGCGGCTCGGCTAGCTTGCCAACCTAGCGAGCACCTAAAACGGATCCCAAAGATTGATCTCTAACTGTTCAATCTGCTTCAACTCGCCATAAGTATAACTTCTGCATCTGATTCCCTCCCAAGTACCTCTGCACCAGCAAGTTATTCTCCTGTCAAGTGGCCGTCGGTGAGCTAAAGATCAGGCCTTGCGAGGTCTTCAACACGCTTCAAGTCACAGTAGACCCATTCTCGACGCATTTACACAGCAATGCCAGAACCTTTGTACGTCCAGCCAGTCAAGTTTCTATGGCCTGCTCCCCTCCAAGGCAGCCCAAAAATGCACCATACGGATTGTGCGGGAATATCGGGCTGGTCTCCGCGCCCCATTCCTCACATCCTGCATGTGCACCATGCAGTTTGTAGTGATCCCTGTCTTGCTTCAGATGGGAAGAGTGATAGAGAACATGGACATTTGAACCCCAAAAGATATTTATATATCAGGCGAGCCAGGCGTCTCACCACGAGTCTGCAGCATCGCCCCCAGCATCTGTTGATCCGGCCAAATTTGGGTTTGTCTTCGCTTAACAGGGGCGTCGGTTTACCACTCGTTATACTCAAGCACGTGTCTGGCTACTGCTATGTACTCATAGTTACCAGACATGAACTTTAGTCATTTGCGAGTCTTGAACTAGGCGTCTTGTGGTTTTAGTCCTCATGACAAGTTGAACACTCAGCGGAGATCTGGGTCCAGTCTGGGCCAGTTCTCTTTCAAAGCAACGTCAACGACGTATCAGGTCCGTATGTACCTGGATTGTATTACGACGGAAGCCATACCAGTTGGCCACATCCTGACTTCAGCCTTGACTGGCAAAAGAAAGCATATCTGCGAATTCAAGATTGACTTGTTTGCGCCCCAGCTCGACAGAAAAAATCATTTGCGGCTTTACGATGACATATATTGCCACTACCGCGTCCACAGCAGATTCATCAGTTGGATAACACAACGAAGTGCCCTTGGCTTGGCGCGCAACGAAACTAGCAGCGAGCGCTAGGTCCGAGGCATCACAGACCGCCGAAGCTATGCTCCGATGGCGACGTTCTTTGGTGCCGGAGAGATGGTTCCGGACGGAGCCTTATCTTGAAGCTTGGAGGTCAACATGATTGACATTGGCTGGCAAAGCCTCGAGAAGGCGACAGATTATTCAGTCAATTGCAGTTCAGGATTCCTACTGCTCTTGTTTACACACTGACGCTTGACCATCTCGAGAGAGAACTTCTCTCGGCGGTTTTACCGGTATTAACATAGCTATTACCGTTTTTTCGCCAACATAATTCTCCGTGTCGCACGCACTGTTCGGTTGGCATGTGCTATTTTCCGGGCAGCATGCATAACTGCGGTATGTACATACAGTACTGTGGCTACCCCAGCATGTAACGTGTCAAGTCTCCCTGGTCACTTCGATGCTTCATCAGATTTGTCCGTGGGCACTTTCTAGGGTGTCCCCCCCCGCTACCTCAACACCACCACATCCGCTCTTGTCCCTTGTCACCGGGGATAAGCCAGCAAGAGGCCAAGAGCTACGGTGCACGGCCGCTTCGCGAGTCCCTCCACCGTCAGCGTAGGCTTCTATCCGTATTTCGCGAGTGGCTCGCAAGATATCCTGTTGTGTGCATCATCACGGAGAATCTGTGCCTCTTGGCCACTCTATGCAATGGACGAGTGAGTGCATGCAGCATTTGCATGGTTTGCTTTGCTTTGCTTTGTGATGTATGCAAAAATCCCTCCTCTTTTATTTCGCTGTTCTTCTATGTACAATTTCAATTATGACAGGTCCAATACCAGGTGTCTGTCTATTCAACTTCCAGCCCAGCCTGCTTCATAAGCCCGTAGAATACACCTTGCTTCTTGAACAGCTCGGCCGGACTATCAAACTCGACCACCTCACCCTTGTCGAGCACCACCACACGATCGCTGTCCAGGATGGTGTTGAGACGATGGGCAACGGTAATAATGGTGCGGTTAGCGAATAAGGGTGATCGGAGGGTGCTCTGCAGCATAGCGTCGGTCTCAACATCGACTGCAGCCGTTGCCTCGTCCAATACCAGGATATTGGACGGGGTGAGCATTGCGCGAGCGAGCGAGACGAGTTGCCTCTGACCCTGTGAGAGATTGGAGCCTGTAAGGCAACATGTTAGCAGTTGAACAAACAAACAGACATGCATGCATGCATGTGAAAGTCGGTTGTGATGTGAATAAGCCTGATATCTCAGGGTCCAGGTTGTTGGTGCTGCTCCTCCTGAAAGGGCAGACCACGGGACTTCGCCCTCATGCGAGGCGAGCAACTAAGCACATCTGATGTCTTTGAAATGGCTGCAGAAAAGAGACTGCTCATTATCGTCGGCAAGGGCCAGATGTTTAGCCATACCACATCAGATGAAGCCATGGATGCTGAACCAGATGCTCGGGTGACCGGTGAGGGAAATCGTAGACCGGTCAAGAAATGCCGACAGAAAGCGCATTGCCGTGCGTGAACTCACCTCCTTCGTTAATCTTGGCCTCCAACCCACCATCCATGCTCGAAACGTGGTCCTTCAATCGTGCGTGCTCTATAGGGAAATACGTCAGCAAATGTTACACAACGTGCTGACAAAACATTCGCTTGTCTAAGCAGTGCATGGGTGTAGTAGGGTTGCAATGTCGGCGTTTACTTACCCAACACACTCCAAAGCTCAGTGTCATCATGGACATGGCCAGGATCGAGGTTATCCCGAACAGTGCCTTCAAAGAGCGCTGCATCTTGAGGAATAATGGCTAGTCTTCGGCGCAGATCGAGCAACCCGATGGAAGACGTATCAATATTATCAATACCAATATGACCCGTTACCGGTTCTATGAGTCGGAACAAGGCGAGAGTCAGAGATGACTTGCCTGCACCTGTGCGGCCCACGACACCGATCTTCTCATGCGACTTGATGTCAAGGCTGATATTCTTGAGCACCAAGTCCAGACCCTCACGGTAACGGGTGCTGTAGTTGACGAAATCAACCTCACCCTTAGCAGGCCACGAGACAGGGGGTCTGTTCTTGGCGATGATCTCGGGTGCCTCACTTGGTAGGGCTGCATATTCGAGGACACGCTCTACTGACACAATGTTGGTCTCAACTTCAACAGTCTGCCGAACGATCCAGTTGAGCGAAGTCGTGATCTGCAGAGCATATGACATGGCGAGGCCGACAATACCGGATTGGATGGGCTTGTCGCCTGTGACGGCGATGATGGCAAAGCCAGCGGCAGCCAGAATGACCACAGCACCAATGAACTCGAGGCGAACGGCCAACCAGCGATTGGCGCTGATCGAAGGGAAGTAAGCACGGAGATTAGCATCCACACGCCATTCGTTCTCGAGCTCGAATCGCTGCTGCTGTCGGAATGCCCGAATGGTTGAAATGCCGCCCAGGGACTCCTGGAAATGTGCATAGATGGGGCTACGGCTCACACTGTCGAGTCGCTTGAGCTCTCGAGATGTTCGGAGGTAATATCTCTGGATGTAGTAGTAAGTCAGGGCTAGAGGGATGATCAATGCGACAAATGGTGGTGTGGCGAATGAGATAACGACCAATGTGAAGCCTGACTTGGCCGCGTTCACAAATAGCATATTGAAAGTTCTGGCCAAAACCTCATCAACACGATAGATATCACTGTCAAATGGATTAGTATCGACCTTTGAACTTCCCTAAGTATATACTAACCTCGAGAAACGGTTCAGGATACGACCAGCAGGCGTTGTATCAAAGAAAGACATGGGAGAGCGGAAGATAGCGTTGGCCATGCGCTCATGAAGCTTCCTTGATGCCTGTTGCTACGTCAGTATTTATACTCAACGTGATCATGAAAAATCACCAACCTCAATGGAACAGAAGATCCAGAGCACAAGGGTCTGAACGACAGTGAGAGCGGACGCTCCGATACCAAAAGCGAAGTAGATTCCGAGATACTTGCCAACATTAGCGTTCGACTGCTTTTCTTGGTTTTCTCTGGACCACTTCTCAAGCCAGAAATTACCACCGATTCCGGCAGTCTGTGCAGCAATAAGCATGAGGAGATATAGAGCAACGGCATAAAGGTTGTTCATCTTGGCGTATTCACCGTAGACAGACCATTTGACCTTGCCTTGCTCTAAGTGCTCCTTGGTTTGCTTGGTCTTGGACGAACCACCGATTTCCTCGTCTGTCAGCTTGCCTCGTGGCCCTCTGAAGCTTGCAGTGCTGGCGCGGCGCAGTGTTGCCATGCTGCTCGAGCGAGGCTTGGCTCCAGCACTGGTCTTGATGGGAGCCATCTCGGGGACCTGTTCCTGTGCCTCCTCAAGCTCTTCCTTGGCCTGGCTGGAGTCTGTCTCGATGATTGTAGCAGCCTTGCTGCTTGAAGCACTGGAACTAGGTTCACTGCTGGCATTGCCAGACTCGTGTCCGGCCGTCTTGAGAAGTTCGGCAACAAGACCCTTCTGAGCAACCAATTCCTTGTATGTTCCACGTTCAATGATCTGGCCATCCTTGAGGAGAGACACGTAGCTGGCCTGACGAAGGACAGCTATGGCGTTGGTCGCAAGAATGCGAGTCTTTGAAGCCAGCAAGCCACGAGTTCCAAGTACATTGTCGATAATGTGACGGCCAACATGGGAGTCAACAGCAGAAAGAACGTCATCGAGTAGGTAGATATCCGCACGAGCATAGACAGCACGAGCTAGTGATACACGTGCTTTTTGACCACCACTCAGGGAGATACCACGTTCGCCAACAACAGTTTCGTCTCCATCTGGAAGCTGTGCAAAATCGTCCAAAAGAGCACACGCCTGGACAGTCTTCTCGTAAAACTCAGCATCATATTTATAACCAAAGATGATGTTCTCCTTGACTGTGGCATTGAGGATCCAGGTCTGCTGCGATGCGTAGGCAACAGTTCCTCGTACTTCGACATTGCCCTTAACCTTCCACATATCACCGAGAATGCTTTGAAGGAAAGACGACTTGCCAGCACCAACACGGCCAACGACACATGAGAGCTCTCCCTTGTAAGCGGTGTAATCAATATCAACCAGAGCGGGCTTGTTCTCGTGACGACTCCAAGAGAATGTACCATCACGGATAATTATACTCTCTTCACCGAGTTGCTCAGGGGCAGGCTTAATGGTGATAGCGTCGGGCTGAAGCTCTTCAGCAGTAAGGAAGCTGGTGAGACGTCCAATGGCGACAGAGGCTTCGACAATGGAGGTAATGACCATTGGAAGAATGGCAAGAGGGAAGGTCAACAGGTTAAACAGGGCCAATGCAGGGAAGACGATATCACTGGTGAGGGGCTTATCCTGGGTCAGAACAAAGACGGTGAATGTCGAACACGAGACGAAGAAAGGCGCAGTAGTCCAAGTGAAGTTGGCAAAGGCCTGGGTGGCACCAATCTTTCGCAAGTTCTTCAGTTCCTTTTCGTTTCGGACGAAATTGAGTTTGTTCATAAAGGCAGAGCCCCAAGCATACAGCTTGATGCTCTTCATATTGTTGATGATCTCATTGATCAAACGACTTCTGGCGTCCTTGTTCTTCATCTGCTCCTTTTGCATGTTTTTCATAATGCGAGCGACAAATCCTTGAATTGGCATCATAATGATCATGACCGCAACGCCCGCCATCATAGACCAGCCTAGCAAATTATAGAGGGAAACCATGCAGATGATAATCTGGAATGGCGCAGACCAAATTTGCTGAGCGAACTGGGTAAGATCCTGTAGACGTTGGCCATCAACCGCCATGTAGTTGACAATGTCACCGGTGCTCTTTGAAGCTCTGCCCTCGCTTGACAGGCGCAGGGACTTGCGGTAGATGGCTGAAGACAGACCACCCTTGATACGCATTCCCGTCACAAAGGCAAGCTGGAAGTACTGATGAACCATGGTGGTTTGCAGGACCGCACACGCGAACATGGCCAAAGCGATGGCAGCGCCCTTGATAATAGGCTGAGGAGTATTGTCTTCCTCGTAGGACTTCACAAAAGAGATGAGAAGCCGAAGGAGCTGGGGCTGAATATACTGGGCGACATCATTTGCAACCTTGAAGATCGCAGCAACACAGTAAGGACCGCCATATGCCTTGAACAAAACTCTCCACAGCGAAGGGCTCTTATGGTGTTCCAACTCATATTGCCAAGCTTGGTCAAAGCGAGAGCCAGTGTTCTTGGTCTGATCATCCTTGGCCAGAGCCCAGAGGTCCTCTTCGGTCAAATACACTTTGTAGCCATATTGCATCATTGGTGTCATCCAGGAGAAGGCGAGCTGAGAAAATGCGTTGGCATATTCAACGGGACATTCCTCCTCCTCCTCGATGGCTTCATATCCACTTGGGCGAGAAGTTCGGGGCCACAGCCACTCCACAAGGAACTCTACAAGAGACAGTGCAACTCCGACGCAGTAAATAATGAAGTAAGGTAGGTTGGAGTCGTAGATTTGCTGCGAGATAAGAGATCGGAGCTTGACGCCGAAGGATATGAGGAGGAAGAGCCAGTAGAACAGGGCGACGCCGCTGGGATATCGAATGCGCGAGTGCTCGACCCATTGAATAGCGAAAACGACAAATAGTGACAGAATGGTCAAGAAGGTTGTCAAGACTCGGAAATCGCCATACCAGATATGGGGCATATAGACGATTTGAACGACAAGCTGAGCAATGACGTCGACGATGATGACGGCGAGGAGGGACTGAGGCAACAAGTCAGCTCAATTGAACAGAATATTAGTAGAAAAGGGCGCAGAAGAGTTTACCTGCTTGATGTAGAAGTGCGCATTCTTGGTCTGTCCCTCTTGTTTCTGCTTCTTGGCGAGCAGCCACCAGACAGCGAGCGATCCAAAGAGAAGACCAAAGACAGACACAGCAGAGATCCAGACGTCGATAAAACAAGGTGTGAAATCATAGCGATGAGGACTAAGGGGCCCCCATCCTTCCGAATTCCCACACAGAGGTTGCTTGAAGGGGCCGGTAGTGAGATAGTTGGCACCAAGCTCTCGCAGCGGGCGGAAGCCGGTAAACGAGCCCGTCTCGAAGAGAACCTGTTGCTCATTGTAGAGAGCCATTGTTGCAGTGGTCGCTTCTCAAGGATTCCGAGGTGTCGAAAAGGTTTCGCGCAACAGTCACTTCATGCTAGAGGGACGAGTCGGATGTTTTCGTAGGCGACAGAGGCGATGGCGCGTCCTTGGTGACGATGATGGTGACGGGATAAGATTTTGGAACCTTAGCTCAGGAAGCTCAATGTTTAGTAGTTAGTACGTCAGAGCGAGTGCCGTGAACCGGAGCAAGGATCGGAAACAGTTCGGGAGACAAGACAGACAAAGACAGAGGCAGTCTCAGAACGGACAAAACAAGTCCAAACCCGAATCCGGTCACCTCAGGCGAGAGAGAGTTGAGAGAAGAGGTTCAAAAGAGAAAAAGGTTCCTCAACTTTCTGGGCGACTTCCGACAGGCAGAATCTCGTCAAAGAGAGGCCCTTGTCGTGGTTGGTAAGCTGGTCCCCAGAAATTTTGCTGCAAACCCAGCATACGCGAACACCCAAACATGCACTAACAATGCGATCCTGGCCTCAGGGGCCAAGAAAACACCGAACCTTGGTATAAGGTGTCAAAATAAACTAAGCAAAAAGTGCCCTAAGCTTAGGCTAAATTTACCTAAATATTTTTATAATTTAGGGTCCAGGTCCTGAGTTTTCTTTCCTCCCCTAGCCTGGGCACTAGACCAGGCTCAAGCTGCTCAGTGGGGTTGCTTACTGATGTGCAAATGGAGATAGTCTACGGACTTTGGGTCAGATCACTCACTTAGGTTCTCAGCCAATGTCGTCTTACCCTGGAGCATAGAGTTTGAGTCTCATTTTGGTGTAGGTCGCTCGTGTGACTGACTCATTGCTATAACTAATGCTTTCTATGTATCATCTTAATAGATTATAAGCACGTCAATTGCTTGTACAACTCGTAGTCCTCAATGTGTTCCCTCTAATTAACGTGACTGCCAATACGTCTTGACAAGCAATCTCAATCAGCACGAGAAGTGACTTCGGTTTTCAACCACTCAATAACCGTCTTGGAAAGCCACTCCTGCGCTGGGAGTTGATCAACAGTATGGCTTGCGCCAGGAATCAGCCCCGATAACCGACTGACGGCCGGGTTCAACGCCTTAAACTTTTTGTTGCTCGCAGCCTGGTCGATGCGCTCTGGGACGAACTCGTCCTCAGCAGAATGGAGAACCAGCACTGGCTTATTGAAACGAGACCAATTCCTTTCAACGACATCATCGGGCAGGTCTGATGAAAAGTAGTCATCGTCGCCGCTGTTTATCAGTTAGTTCATATCATCCTGATAGCTGGACACCGTTGAACGCACCCTTTGCTCGCCAGGGACTGGAACCGATACGCCGAAATGGGAGCTCCCAGAACAGCAGGAATCATGTCAAAAGGCATACAATCACCGCCTTTACCCTCAGAAATCATCTTTGCGGCGAGTTCAAGACTCGACTGAGGGTCCGGGAAGATCAAATCCAGCGTCTCACGATCCGATACCGGACCTTGCATAACGAAGCCATCGACAGGTTCGTTGTTGTGCTTGGCATAGTTGGCATACTCGATGCAGTCCTGCAATTGGTCAGAATAACTGTAAATCGTGGCGGGAAGGGAATATTTTACCTGGCAGCCCGTTGAGGAACCGAATAGGACGATCTTTTCCTTGCCAATTCCTCGTAGATACTTGACCAAAGCAGAAATGTCTTCAACGTCGTTGGAGAGGCTCGAAGTGCCAAATCCCGAGAAAGAGCTCCTCATGCGGAACTCGATGACGGAGAAGCCCAACTCCTTTGCTTCCTCTAGACGCTGGGCTAGAAGCCGGGTATAAGGAATAGTGTGAGGTCCATCTGTAAGCCCACCGATGAAGACAATGGCATTGGGAGCTGAAGTGAGACCAATTTCATAGGCGGCCGAGCTTCGACACTTGGACTCGAAGGGATGGACAGTGACTTGGAAAGGGCCTGAAGGGGACATTTTGGCAGCTGTTGCAGAGAATTACTGTGATGATATTTGTCCCTCAGTAGAAATAGAGGGGAGCTTTACTGGAGGACTGATGAGGTATATATAAGCTTATTTCCTTGCGTCTCGCCGGGATCATTTCATTGTGCACTTACTGGGAGATCACTAAGAAGGCTTAGTTCGAAAATAGAATCTACTATGATTTGGTATTTAGTATAAATTTCCTGATGGTTGTTGCAGGCATCAAGTTCTTTAGAAGTTGATAGTGGGTGGGCGTACTCCACAGTGTGACAATTGTATCATGAGAGGGGCACAGGGCATAATAGACTCAGCAGTGCCTAAAGAAGTGATTGAAGTTACAGAAGCGCAAGAATCTGTAAATCAACAAGCTATCATATACGTTACTGGCATTCGGTAGATAGTGATTGAGATGTCAAGAGATATAAGGTTTCTCTATAATTCTGGCGACTTCTTTCACTGTGTCAGAACGACATCCTTACACAGCCTCATTTAGCGAAACCACTCTTTACTGGCAACGGGACCCCTCCATACTCCAATTTTGTCCTTCTGGCAAAACCACCAAACCAGGATCTCTTCATCGCTTTACATTTCCAGTGTAAGCTACAAGTTATCCGTTCAGCTCAACCAAACCTGTATGCTGCATCCTACTGCCCTTACGTACTCGCGTTCGTGTTCGTTAAATTCTTGGCTCGTCTGTGGGGAATATGCATGAATAGACAAGCAGAAGCTCTTTGCTTCATCAACCATGGAATCAACAGCCAGTAGTAAGGAGAGGACCGAGTTCTTCCAAAGAGTAAGTGATGATTCTCAAGCCCCAAAGAAAATACTGACTCAAATTAGCTAAAACCATGTTGCGTGAGGATAAGCCAGTTGGCGATACGTGAGGCCGACGTACCGGCTTCTTCTCGAGAGCTTGGTGAGCAGACAGGCCGACTTTTGGAGCTTCTCAATGAACAAATCAGCCGAAACCCGCTAGCACTGGATGAGAAGTTATCTGAATATGTCTTCTTCCCTCTTCATCACATCTTTCGCCAGATGGATCAATATCCCATGCAATTGATCGAGAACTGCATCAAGACGCTTACGATTCTCATCGCGCACGGCTGGAAGACAAAGCTTTCTGCGGAGCTTGTGCGACAGATTCTGAGCCTTCTGACTTTCATTATCGATGGAACACCTGGCTCAACCCCAGCACGCCCCATCGCTGAGGAGACAGTGCTGGAAGCTTTCCGTGGGCTGACAGCGCTCTTCAACACAGCTGGTTTATCGGCCGCAGCTTCATCGGGACTCTCGGATGCAGAGTCAATACCGGCTCTCGGGCACGGCGTAACTATCATGTTGAATGGAGTGGTAGATGGTGCAACACCTCAGATTCAACAGGAAGCACTACGTGCCCTGCAAGCCGTGTACCATACTGTGAAAGAACCTGCTGCGTTGGCTAGTTTCCTGCCTGGCACCATTTCACTACTCGCCAAAGTCACATCTTCACCTAACCGGTACAAGAGCACTGTTCTCGCCAAATGTCTCGAGACAGTGAGCCTGGTACTGACAAGTGTATTGGCTGATCTACGGACGCGGTCTATCTCGACAAAACCCGAAACTGATCAAGAGGGGGCCGATGATAACAAAATCCTCTCTCCCGCTTGGCTCAAGGCAAGTACCATGCAAGTAAAGAAAGCCCTCTCAACGATTATGAAACTGCGTTCTCATGGATCTGCTGAGGTGAGGAATGCCCTCAACAAACTTTGCGTGACCATTCTGGATGAATGCCACAACACCTTGTCCAATTGTGCAAACATGCTTGTCGAGACAGCCATGATGCTAGGGGAGACTGAGAACAAGATGCCCTTGACACAGACTAGTTTACAAGACCTTGTCAACATCTATCCTGAACTCGGTGAAATTGTCAAAACGACAACATATAACTGGATGTCTAGTCTTTCACGGTTGATGCAATCAGCGGATGAAGATGTCAAGCGAGACGCAATACGAAATGTCTTGAAGGGCCTTGAGTTCATCAAAGACCTGCAGATACAATCATCGACGTTGGACGAATCCATGTCGATTATGCTCCGAGATAGTGTTATATCTCTAATGCAAGCATCAAGAACCTCGGAAACTAACGAGAACATGGACGTCCGACTGATAGACAGTGGGGAAGCATCGGCAGAGCCAAAGGATGTTCAATACCAGCCCGTCTTGCTACGCTCCGAATCGCAAAAGAATATCCGTCAGGAGATGGCATCACTCATTGCCTTTCTCGGGTCATCGTCTCAGCAAGCAAGATTTGCTGGTACTATGTTGGAGCAAGTCCAGGACTCTGATAACTCAGCTAGCCAACTCGCTACTTTTTGGCTTTGCTTTGAACTTATCAAGGCGAGCCATAGATCCTCTGCTGAAGAAGAGATGTTCTTGAACTTGTCATCAATAACCGACCCCTCTCAGGATATCGACACTATATTCAATGAGCTTTACACCACATCGGTGCAGATTCTCGACCGGCACACAGATGCGGAACCTGTCGACTGGCGGCTAGAGGCTCTAGCTCTAGAAGCAACTGCCTACACAGCACAGCGAGCCGGAGAGTCATTTCGCCCTGAGCTGATTGATGTTTTGTTTCCCATCGCAACGTTCTTAGGCTCCAACAACCCCAATCTTCAAAAGCATGCTATTGTCACGTTGAATAGTATAGCAGCCTCATGCGGATATGCCAACGTCTCAGAACTTATCATCCAAAATGTGGACTACATGGTGAACTCGGTTTCGTTGAGGCTGAACAGCCTGGACATATCGCCTGCCTCGATCAACGTTTTGACCATGATGGTCCGACTTGCAGGCCCCCGACTGGTTCCCTACCTAGACGATGTTATAGACTCTATCTTCGGGGCTTTAGACAACTTTCACGGATATCCAGTATTTGTCGAGAATCTGTTTGTCGTTCTCAAGGAGGTTGTGAACCAGGGCGTTCGCTCTGATATGTTGTTGCTGGAACATCAGAGGAGTTCAAAGCCAGACCATCGAAAAGTACACAAGAAAGAACCCGGGCTCTCCGAACTCTTGGATACCCTGGAAAAGCGAAGGCAACGGGCAGCAACCGATGAGATGGAAACTGAAGAAGTGAAAGGTCACCCAAAGATCCCGTGGAAGGAAGAAAAGAAAGAGGATGATAGCAACGAGGCAGCTGATCCTCCACCAGAACCAGAAAAACCGCCAAACTCACCAACATACCAGCTTCTGCTAAGAGTGGCAAACCTCACGCAACATTACCTCACCTCCCCGACACCAACACTGCGAAGATCCTTGCTTGAGCTCCTGACAACAGCATCCACTGCTTTGGCTCCCGATGAAGATGCGTTTTTGCCCCTCGTTAACGCGATCTGGCCAGTAGTGATCGACAGGCTGCATGACCCAGAAGCTTATATCGTGGTCGAGGCATGCCGCGCGCTTGCTGGGCTCTGCGCTGCTGCGGGGGACTTCCTTAGCTCTCGGTTCAAGACTGACTGGGCTGAATGGCTTCGAGATTGGTGCCGAAAGGTTAAACAGCAAGCTTCCGCTTCACCGAGCTGGGTCAGACCCCATGGGGAAGCTGGCACTACGTGGGGGAAAGAAAGCGACGATAGCCGAGTGTTGATACCCCTGAGGCATGGTGATAGTCTAAGCGGCAAGCCTTTAACGCAAATAGTCGCACCATCTTCAGGTAGCTTAGGAAAATTTGCGTCACCAGCGAGAGTGTGGGAGGGTACGGTTGAGCTACTGACAGCTCTCGTATCTCATGTCCAGGTTGACGAAGAAATGTTTGATGACATTCTTGACTTGCTCTCGGACGTTTTGGAACGAAACGTTGTCGTGCGGGAGGCATTGGAGGCTGTCAACGGGGACGCTGTATGGCTTTCGAGGTATGAGAGAGGGAATATTGAATGGCTCCCAACACCGAAAATGGACGGAGTGGAGTTCACCCCCATGGCAATCTCGAGGTAATGCATTACGAAATAGACAGAACAAACCAACCAATATCGACTTCTCAATCATACCATTGTGGACATTGAAATGGCCAGAGCCGGCACAAGAACTCAGCTAGTGGTACGACTCGTTTCCTGGGGTTAGCATGGATACTAGGAGCGCCACCGGGCAAACCGTTCCTTGACGATGATGGAAGGCAGCAATTGTCATTTGAGGACAACAAATGTTATGTGATGGCTTCACGTGGAATTTCCACACGAGGGGAGCCTGTGATACTGAAGCTTACCCCTGCCAAACATTGCTATGGAGAAGTGGTGAGGTCTAGATTCTGCTGACGGTTCCGCAGTGGAAACATTGAGCATTTTCTCCGCATCTTATGTGTCAACACCTTCTTGAACAAGTTAGAATCGAGAGGCTAATAATTGGAGTCGTTAGTGCTATGGATCTCCCCGAGCGAACCAGGGAGACTGAGATTACCCTCAAACCTCGTTCGACTCTACCCCAGAAACAGGATCAAGATGCTGCGGAAACGATTTCGTAATGGAATCAACATGTTGAGTGTCTAGACTCGAGAGTCTGGAGAATCCCCAGATTATGACTCTGGATCTGGGGAGGCCTCGTGCCGACCATTGCATCGTATCCATTTTCCCCAGAAAGCCAAGAAGACATAACGTAACGAGACTCTTGAGCAAGTTGAGCCTCAATGCTAGCTTGTCTTGAATTGACATTTTTTTCATGAGGGGAAATTCCTGCGTGAGGAGATTTTTCAAGCCACGATCGATATGGCCGGCCCAATCAAGGAGATACCGATGGGATGAGAGTGAAAAATTCGATAAGGCCAGCTAAGAGATAGGGTTTTCCCTGGCTCGCGGTCAGCAGCTGAGAGCCAGCGGGAGGGGGGAAAGGAGTCTCCAAATTGCTAGTTGGTCCTAGGGCTGTTGGGACATGGGTACAGTTCCAGATTCATTGATACCACCGAAGCTGCGGGCCATTCAAGGCCAATCAGGGACATGTTAGCTGCAAGAGGAGGGTAGTCTGGAAGTCTTCTAGCTCGAGGACTAGTTCGAGCTTGCCACCCTCTTTGAACGAGACGTGACCGCGTGAGGGTGCCCTGGAGCATGTGGGGGAGAAGCAAAGCAAGCCAAGGCATCTCCAAGCTTTGCTTTGCTCTGGTCTCTGCTGCTGAAGACTCCAAGGCGCTTGGCGATCTATTGGCATCGCATCGCCAAGTTCTGCAGCACGCCGAACCAAGTCTTGTCTGCAGATCCCAAGGTCTGGGCAGCACTGGGCCGTACCCGAACATTTGGTTCACAATGACAGCATGTGTCTTGTAATACGACATAAGTCACCAGTTGATTACTACCACCAGGGGATTTCCGAAGAGGGACAAGGGCCATTGGTAATGATGTCGACCTTCCGAAAGAAGCTGAAAGTGCTTATGGGGGCCACTGAACAAGCGTTACGGACGTGGCGTTGAAATGGTCATTGACTCCGCGTTAGGAGCGCGGTTAATGGTAGTCAACTGCCCATGAAAGTCAACGGAAAACTGCCGAGAGGTTGACTCGTAATAGGGCGTCGGGCAAGGATACATACGATGCAACACGACCCAATGTGAGTTAATTCCAAAGGATTGCAGCATGACAAGGATCTGACACATCTTGGGTAGTATTGGTGAATAACCTTATCCTGAGGGAGGGAAACGTAAGAAACAACTCAAATTGATTGATTGCTGACCATGCTGACTCGTCTATCAGATACGCTATCTAGATTAACGTCAAACGACAGGCGAGTTAAGCGCCGTATCAACCGTTGTCATGTCTTTTACCAGCACGAGCCAAGCAGAACCGGCCCGGTCAAGGTCGACATGATTCTCGGCTACGGAGCCCTCTCGCGCTCGCCGAGAGAAAGACGAGCAGAACCAAGACGGGAACGAGATAAGGGGGGGAAGGCCACTACTGCAGTGTGACCTTTAGGCTGCCTGCTGTGCTCCAAGCTCCCAAGGTGGACATGAAAATCCTGTACCCACCATGATACTGTAGCTTGGAGTTGAAGAGCCAATGGCTTCATGAGCCTAACGATTAGCCTCTAAGATAAACTCTTTGGGGCAAAACAAGAACGGCTAGACTGCCCGTTCTGCACACCATTTCCTCCAAGTTGAACCAACACGCTAACATTAAGACTAACGTTAGACTACCCCCCCCCTTGACCCATCCTTGCCATCTCCAACTCCAACTCGCATCTGGCAAACCCCAGCGCCACCAAATCTAGAACGGTATGGAGATCAGTTCCATAGTCTCGGTATATTGTGCAACATCGTCGATCAAAATGAGTACAAATACTGAGGCCCTCTCCCTCATTCCGGGGATAGAAGAACCAAGAGCATCACTCTCAACACTCACTCCTCATTCTCTCACTCTCACTCTCTCATACACTTCTCTCTCCTCCCTCCACCACCTCCACCACCACAGCTAGTAGCCATGGCTTCTACTCCTCCCACCGATTACGGCAAGGAGGCCGTTCTCGATGTCTCTGAGACACGAGATGTCGAGACTGGCGAGGTCAAGAACGGTGGTCTCAAGCAAGATCTCAAGAACCGACACATGCAGATGATTGCCATCGGTATGGCCTCCCTCCTCCACTACTCCTCAACCTCATAACTAACATGTCTAGGTGGCGCTATCGGTGCTGGTCTCTTCGTCGGTTCAGGTGGTGCCCTCCAGAAGGGTGGCCCTGCTGCTCTCCTCATCGGCTATCTCATCATCGGTATCATGCTTCTCTGCACATGCTTGGCCCTGGCTGAGATGGCTGTCCTCTACCCCGTCAACGGTGCCTTCTTCACATACATCGTTCGCTTCGTCGATCCTTCATGGGGTTTCGCCATGGGCTGGCAATACGCTCTCGCTTGGTTGACTGTCCTGCCTTTCGAACTTATCGCCGCTTCCATCACCATCAGATTCTGGAGAGAAGATATCAACATGGCTGTCTGGGTCTCTGTCTTCCTTGTTGTCCTCATGGGCATTCAGATCTTCGGTGTTCGAGGCTACGGTGAAGTTGAGTTTGTTCTCTCCATCATCAAGATCTGCGCCTGTGTTGGTTTCATCATCCTCGGTATTGTCATCAACTGCGGTGGCGTAGGCGACCAGGGCTACATCGGTGTCAGGTACTGGCGCGATCCTGGTGCTTTCACCAGCTTCAAAGGTTTCTGTGCTGTCTTTGTCGTCGCTGCTTTCTCCTTCGGTGGTACTGAGATGGTCGGTCTGGCTGCTGCTGAGTCTGCCAACCCCCGCAAGTCTATCCCCATGGCTAGCAAGCAGGTCTTCTGGCGAATTGCCATCTTCTACATTCTTAACCTATTCATCGTCGGTCTCATTCTTCCCGCCAACGACCCTCGCCTGATGGGCGCCAGCGGTGCCAACACTAAGGCCTCTCCCTTCGTTCTTGCTATCCAGGATGCCGGTATCAAGGTCCTCCCTAGCATCATGAACGCTGTCATCACTGTTGCCGTTCTCTCTGTTGCCAACTCCTGCACTTTCGGTTCTACCCGAACCATCCAGGCTATGGCTGAGCGCAACATGGCTCCTAACTTCTTCAAGTACATTGACTCCAAGGGCCGCCCTCTCTACTGTGTTATCCTCCAGATCGCCTTTGGTCTCCTTGCCTACATTGGCGCTGCTCCTCAGGGTATGGAGATCTTCGGCTGGCTCCTGGCCCTCACCGGTCTTGGCTTCCTCTTCGTCTGGGGCTCTATCTGCCTCGCTCACATCCGCATGCGTGCCGGTATGAAGGCTCAGGGCGTCAACCTCGGCCTCATTCCCTACAAGACCCCCTTCGGCGTTGCTGGATCTTACCTTGGCCTCAGTCTTAACATCCTCGCCCTTATCGCCTCTTTCTACACTGCTCTCTACCCTGCCTCCGGCGCCTCTCCCACCGCTGAGGCTTTCTTCAGCTCTTACCTCGCCTTCTTCTCTGTTGCTCTTCTCTACCTTGGCTACAAGGTCTGCACACGCAAGTGGCAGATGTTTGTCCGTCCCGCTGAGATGGATCTGGCCAGCGGCGCTGTCTGGCTCGAGGAGGAGGAGCCCAAGGAACCCTTCGTTTGGGCTGACGCCCCCAAGAGGGTTCTCCGAAGCTTTTTCTAAGCATGTACGAAGTATGGAGTTGATATGATTACGGATACCCACACTACTGGATGAGTGAAAGAATTGTACATATATATGATCATGTAATATTTTGAGTTTTATACCAACAAGAAAAGCAAGGCGGTTAGCCTTCTTGAGCATTATCTGCACATATACAATACGCATGCAATATCTTGAAACACTTGAGCACATTTACAGTGACACATATGAGGGCCAAAGTGATCTACATTCTTACTTGCGAGGTGATTCAACAAAACTCTTTGGTTTCTGCAAGGGTCGTTTTAAGTAAAGCATTGGCATATGTTTACTCCTCGATCATACATAGAAGGCAAGACTTGTTCTCCAAACCAGAGGCCAATTGTGTTCTAGATGGTCAGAGCAATAAGTACGACAACATTAACTCTTGGTCAAAATTGTTCCCACTCAGCACTATCAACAAGATGACTAGGTCCTCTGCCATATCTTCTTGTTCCGACACATTTCGCCTCGCCGTTACACTGACTGTACCAGTCTCTTAACACTACCCCATACCATTTTGTTAGCATGTCGGCGTTTCGTAGATTTACTCCTAAAGTTTGCCCAAGTTAGTGCCTCTGCAAATTGATAATCAAGTTCAGTAAGCTCGAACTTACAAATTCCGAAGTAAAACTCAGCCCCAAGAATGTCATACATAAACATCAAGCTTGTCCGTCATTGTTGTTAGTTGAGACCACGATGCTGATGTCCCGCGGAAGGTTCTCCTTCAAGATCAGCGCATCGGCTGCGTCGAGGATCGAGCAGAGCTTAGAACGAAGAAGTCGTTCCTGCGATGCTGACCCACGCTCGAGTCTGCCGATAGCTTCGGCCACATTGGTCATAATTTCGTTGCGATACGACAGGTCGTCGTTGATGTTGAGCCGCTTCTGATGACGGTCTTTGGCTCGGGCCAGATCAAGGTCGAGGGAAGACATGACAGCAATATCCATTTTGGAGGCCATGTCAAGAAAAGCGCCGTACATAGAGTGTGTTCGAGGAACGACATAAGCAATAGTGTCGAAGAGACGCTGAAGAGCGCCAACAATAATGTTCTTGGTACCATCAGCTTCCTGGTTGAGGAGACATTGATTCCAAGGAGGTCCAAAAACTTGCTGGAACGACTGACAACCGGGCTTCTCCAGAAGAGTCGTTCGAAGTTCCATCAAACTGGGGGCTGCTTCCTGCACATAGCTCTGCAGAGAGTGTTGAATGTCACGGGCCTTGTCTGACAGTTCAACCAGCTTCTTTACAGCGGCAGTAGATTCTAGTTCATTGACCTGTTGAGCCAGTTGGATATAGTCGATTTCATCGGAGACCAGAGATGCAAGAGTTGCACCGGTCTTGCCCATGAACTTGTAAACTGATAGGTCTGTGTCTGCATCCTTAATAATAGGCAACCAGGATTCCGCGACTTGGCTGCACTAGTACCATAGTCGGTTCTTCGCCTCCTCTGGAAGCACACGGATGATGGGCTCCGAGAGCCATGCCTTTACCTCTCGGATGAGAGCCGGGTCATTCTGTTTGAACTTCCGGTTTCCTAGTTTCTCTAGGATTTCTTTGCCCTCGCTTAATGCCTGTCGGCGGTGGATGATTTGCGGCGCGTCGACAGTTCCCTTCTTCAGACAAGGGGCACCCGGTGCTGACTTGATCCAACCATTGAATCTCGCCATAGTAAGAAGCATCAGAGGTGTGATAGTATCTCCGGGGATATTGGTTGTCACTGCAAACTTTCCGCGGGCAATCTTTCCAACAGTCGGAAACTTTGAGTCTTCGTCGGACTTCTTAACGAAGAAGTGAGATTCGCCAGTCTGAGGCCATATATCGATAGCAATACCAAGGTAAGCCCACACAGCACTCTCAGAGACAGCGCTTACGATGTGTTTGGTGTTGCCATTAGAGTTGACGACGACGTGCTTCAGGTTCAGAACGGCAGCAATAGCCACGGCGATCGTCGCTGGGAGCATGTAAAAGTTACCGCTCTTGGTGGTTCGGTTGGTATTGGAAAATTCTTTCAGGGGACTTGGGATCTGCTCCTAAGAAACATCAGTCCGTTGTCCCTTGTAAGGACTATATATGTCGACTTACCTGGCTCTCCCAGATAGCATAGTCAGTTGCCTCGACGACTTTGGTGTCCTCGATAGTCTTTAGGCAAGCCTTGAAGCACTCCATGTGATGATCGGGATCGCGTCCGGAGAGTCGAAAAACTTCACGAGTCACTTGCTCGTGAATTCGCTGCGCTGTCCGCGCGCTGAGGGGCGGATGCGCCGCGGCAGGCATATCTAGATCGTGGAGGGCGGAACAGATGAAGGAAGATATGAAAGGAAACAGGTAGAAAATATCTCCGATGATGATCTAAGGTGACCAAGAGTATTGTGAGGTAAGAAGAGATAGTCGAAGAAGATGGAGGGTGTTGAGGATGGAGGGATGTTATGAAAAGGCGAAGTGATGCCAGGTCTAGAGATGATGGATGGATATCAGGCGCGCAGGAAGAATGATGAAATTGTCAGCTAACTCAAGATGCCAAGAACTTCTCTTTATGAGATAGAAAGCAAGTTCTGAGCAAGGATGTGCTGATATTTCCTCTTCTTCTGTGGTGAAGTGATATGCAAGAGGGGAAGAAAGTGTTGGACGAGGGAGTGTGAAATTAGGAGAAAGGTGAGCCTAGTAAAAGAGGTTAAGGACGGAGTTGACCGCTGTGTCAGAGCTAGAGCCAGAGCCAGAGGCAAAACTAGAACACTACCAATTGTTCACGGTCAGTGGCAGAACTCTTGACCAGACCACGAAAATGATCTGAACAGTTGACACTGGCAATTGTTTTCACGGAACATCATTTGAACATGAGCAATATATCTCACTAAATGGCAAGTTGTCACTCAGAATTAGCACTAGTTGTCACCATAATCAACGCTTCTATGCTTCGTCTTCCTAACACTTGCTAGATAGTCTATCAACACTTCATCACATCTTAGGGCCCACAGTCAAATATCCTTCAACAACAGCAGTAATCAACCGATTGGCAATAGCCTGAGGAGGAGGCAATCGCAAATCTCCCTCCTTGTACCCCTCGGGCGCAGGCTCCCCAAGGCTGCTCGTTCCATTCTTAAGAGCCTGGCGGGCTTCGTCCATGGAGAACCACTTCGCCACCTCCAGCTCCTTGTCGTTCAGAGATATCTTCTCGCCATCACCAGGTAGGGCCTGAGCAATAGCTCCAATCATCAAGCTGGAAGGATAAGGCCACGGCTGACTCGAGTGAATTACCACGCGCCCAACACGAACACCGCTCTCCTCCCAAACCTCTCGCCGAACCGACTCCTCGATAGACTCACCAGGCTCAAGGAAACCAGCAAGCGTGCTGTACCAGTGAGGAGGCCAACGCTTCTGGCGGCCGAGAAGAATCTTTGTTCCGTCTGCGGAAACAACAGCGGCAATCATCGTGGGATCCGTTCTAGGGAAACAGATGTTTGAGACACCGTGACGGGTGGGACAGTCACCTCGGGGTTCACTGGTAGCTCCGCCTTTCTTATCGGCGGGAGGGCAGACGCGCTTGTAACCAGCGTGAACTGAAAGGTTGGGCAGTCCGCAGCCGGCGCAGAAGGGACTTCGTGTATTCCAGTCAATGATTGATCTAGCTTGGGCGTAGAGAGCGGCTGCTAATGTTAGCTGAAAATCGAACCGGCTTCAGTGAAAACTTACCAGCCTCAGGTGACTGATTCATTGCTCGAGGGTTCTTGTCCAAAGACAGTCCTTTCTTCTCCTGTTCCTCCAAGAACTGAGTCGCTTTCTCAGCATGGGTTCCCTTGGGAGTGATGTCAATGGCGAAATAGGGGTGGCCCTGAATATCCCCATGGTCGGAAGAAGGGATTGAATCCTTCTCGTTACCCTCCTCTAGCATACCAATGAAAACAACCAGGGGTCTGGTCTCAGCAGAGTTGAAGCTCTGGATAGCTTCATCCTCTGTGAGAGCGAAATGGTCTGGTCCGATCAGAGGCTCGACATCCTTAAAAGTCAGATAAGCCGGAGTCTTCTTGTCAACAACCAGAGGGTTCAGATCATGGACTGCCAGATATCTAGCTGTAGGGCTATTGAAGGCATGTCGGAGAAAGCCAGTATCGGCACGCAGAAAAGAGTATCTGTTGATACGGCCACCAGCGTAGTAGTTGACAACTTCTTTTCCAAAACGGCGAGTCAACATTGAGTCGTCGTTTTGAAGAGCTGCGATCTCGGGCAGCCCTGGACCTGAAGTGGTTGTTGACATTGAGAGTTGTTTGTTTAAGGGTGTTGGGATTTGTATTTGTAATGCTCTTGATATGAGGTTGGAGATAGTGGGGGTCAGCAATAGTCGACACTTGATACTGGAATAAGGGCCTAGGTTTCTTTTGCTGGAGTTATGATAACAATACGAATCAACTGATATCTAGTGTTGATGTTGAGATTTGGTTTTATCAGGCACAAAGAGGAGACTTTCTATGATCAACGTGAGGCAACGAGTGAGCAGTATCTACTAATCGGCTTCAAGTCCGAGGTCTCCGTTCTGTTTTCCTGTTCATTCTGGGGCTAGCGGTGAGGAAGTCGCGGGCGAATTGCACAATATTGCGGCGAATGCGGCCATGTGCCCAGCGGGATGGAGTTTTGATGAGTCAGGGCTCTTCATGATTGGTCTTTAGTGAGAGGATCTCTTTGAGATTCATTGGGTCCATGGATATCATATTTTCTGGTGTTTCGTGACTGGTCATGATCTCATTTGTACTTTATCAGATAGACGAAGCAACATCTGCGATCCGCAATCTTGCATTCAGAACAGCCCCTGACTATACCAAACCACTTCAATTGGTTATATTTCCATGGCGTTTTCATACTTCAACTGGCATTGGCCCTTCACGAATCCGAACTTGATCTACAGCTTAACTTTGTCGCTGTCCCGAAGTCGGACCCCGGAAGTATCCTAGCATAAGCCAAGCCAAGCCCAAGCCCA